TGGGTCATTCTTCATTTATAACTACACTGGACCATGGTTAAATTCATTAAGCCATGTAAGATGCTAAGTCTATTCTACAATTTTCCTTAGGAGTAACACTATTGTTAAAAGGTACTGAAAAACAATCTTCTGTTGTGTTGCTTTTCTTCCTATCTGCCTGGATAAAGTATCTGGCAGTCGGAAAAAGTTGGCTGAAAATATGACCCTCATAATACAGGATTCTTTAGTTAGATTTTTGAAGGACTCAACATGAAGGGTGTGTTGTGAATACTCTGAGAGAACAGCGTTTTATTTTGTTCCCTCACCCTTTACCACCCTCAAGTGAAGAGAAATCGACCCTACATGGTCAGTACAGTTATATTTTCCTTTTTGTTCGATGGTATTAAAACCGTTTGTATCACTTGAGGAGTATTGCCCTTTTCTTGGTGATATTGTTTCTCATGTTTGTTAGTTTTGTTCTGCTGAACATTGAAAAACATATATTGGGTTTTATCCTATTTCAAAAGAGGCAATTGTTATCATTAATTTTTTTTTTTTTTTTTTTTTTTTTGAGTTGGAGTCTCACTCTGTTTCCCAGGCTGGAGTATAGTGTCATGATCATGGCTTACTGCAACCTTGACCTCCTGGGCTCAGGCACTCCCTCTCTTCTGCCTCAGCCTCCAGAGTAGCTGGAGCTATAGGCACGCACCACCACACCTGGCTAATTTTTAAATTTTTTGTAGAGACGAGATCTTGCTATGTTGCCTAGGGTGGTCTCAAGCTCCTGGACTCAAGCAATCCTCCTGCTTTGACCTCTCAAAGTGCAGAGATTATAGGGTGATCCACCACACCCGGCCCCCATCCTTATGTTTTAAGGGATCCCCTTATAAATGCTCAAAATGCTAGACATTTGCCTTTGCAGCCTTCCTTAGAATTAGGGTGCAGGCATCCCATCTAGATGCGACTAATCACATGAATCTGCCCCAGACAATGAAGTAGAAACTACAGTCATGAAGTGGGACCAAGCTGAACCCATCTTGGTGAGTTGCAGTGAGAGTGTTGCCAACTACATTTAGTGCCAAGGGTCACATTCTGGCAGTAGCTCCTGATGCCCATTGCATGGATGATGGAGTTGAAAGCCATGAGCTCTGTGCTTAGTTGTATTGGTAGTGGTATCTTCAGTGTATTAGTTCTATCTCATGATTTTGGTTGGTGATTATGTTAGGTCTCTATTGCTGCATAGCAAATTACCCCCAAATTTAGTAATTTAAAACAACAAACATTAGTGGCCAGGCGCAGTGGCTCAACCCTGTAATATCAGCACTTTGGGAGGCCGAGGCAAGAGAGTTGCTTAAGCCCGGGGGTTCGAGACCAGCTTGGGCAACTTGGAGAGACTTGGTCTCTACAATAAATCAAAAAATTAGCTGGGTGTGGTAGCACATGCCTGTAGTTCCAGCTACTTGGAAGGCTGAGGCGGAAGGGTCACCTTAGCCCAGTAGGTTGAGGCTGTGATGGCTGTGAGCATGCCACTGCACTCCAACCTGGGTGACAGAGTGAAACTCTGACTCAAACAAGCAAACAAAACCCATTAATTATCCCATGCTCTCTGTGGGTCAGGAACCTGGGTGTGGCTTAGCTGGGTTCTCTGCTCAAGGTCACTCAAGAAGCCATAATAGCAATATCCTCCTGGGCTGTGGTCATCTCAAGGCTTGACTGGGAAAGGCTCTGCTTCCAAGACCAGTTGAGTGGTTGTCATTGGCACATTTCAGTTCCTTGCAAGCTGTTGGTTACTGAGGCCTCTCTCACTTCCCTGCCATGTAGGTCTCTCCATAGCACACATAGCTCATAACACCAGTGAGAGAGAGTGAGAGAGAGAGCTCTGAGAAAGGAGGGAGGGCGGAGGCAAGTGACTTCCTATCACTTTTGCCATGCTCAGTTCTTTAGAAGTGGGCACTAGGTCCAGCCAGTACTAAGGGGAGGATTTGATAGAAGGGCGTGAATACCGAGACAAGAGAGACACTGGTACTATTTTAGAGGCTGCTTATTGCAGTGGCATTAGCCTCTTATCCTCAGAACTGGGTTCTGCCCCACTTCCCACACTCTAAGAGATTCTGGGAGCTACTTGATATCCTGTTAATATTACTTTCCAGTTGCAAGTGAGAAGTCTCACTGACACAGACAGCTGCCCTAGAAGCCCTTCTTGGGTCCCTGGGCCTTACGCGCTGTTGCTTTTTTTTATTTACATTTACTTTTTCTGAATATATTGGAGGATGCAGAAAAGGAAAAAACAATGATCACTTGTAGTACTATTATTCAGAGATGATTACCTTTAAGAGTTGACCATATTTCTCGTTAGATTTTTTCCTTATATGTCACTGAGATCATCTTATATATGTAATTCTATAACTTGAGTATCTTATTGTCTTATTATAATAATTTTCTCAGTGGGGCATGGTGGCTCATGCCTGTAATACCAGCATTTTGAGAGACTGAGGTGGGAAGTTGCTTGAGCCCAGAAGTTCAAGACCAGCCTGGGCAATACAACAAGACCTTGTCTCTACATAAAATCAAAAACAGCCATGATGGCATGTGCCTGTGGTTCCAGCTACTTGGGAGGCTGAGGTGGCAGGATCACCTCAGTCCAGTAGGTGCAGACTGTAGTAAGCCATGATTGTGCCACTGTTCTCCAGCCTGGGCAACAGAGTAAGACTAGCTCAAAAGAGCAAAAAAGTTTCCTGTCAAAAAGCCCCTTATTTCTTTTTTTACTTTTTTTTTTTTTGAGTTGGAGTCTCACTCTGTCGCCCAGACTGGAGTGCAGTGCCCGCTCCCGGCCACCGCAGCCTCGACCTGCTGGGCTCCGGCGATCCTTCCACCTCAGCCCTCCAAGTAGGTGGAACTACAGGCGCGCGCTACCACACCTGGCTAATTTTTTGATTTTTTGTAGAGATGAGGTCTAGCTGCCCAGGCGGGTCTCGAACCCGCGGGCTCAGATAATCCACTCACCTCAGCCTCCCAAAGGCGCGGGATTACAGGCTGAGCCACCGAGCCCGGCTTCTTTTTTTACTTTTGTTTTGTTTTGTTTTGTTTTGTTTTTTGAGTTGGAGTCTCACTCTGTGGCCCAGGCTGGAGTGGAGTGGTACGTTCCTGGCCACCGCAGCCTCGACTGGCTGGGCTCCAATGATCCTTCTGCCTCAACCTTCCAAGTAGCTAGGACTGCAGGCATGCGCCACCACACCTGGCTAATTTTTTTATTTATTGTAGAGACATGGTCTCATCATGTATCCCAGGCTTGTCTCGAACCCCTGGGCCTAGGCAGTCCTCTTGCCTCGGCCTCCCAAAGTGCTGGGATTATAGGCATGAGCCACTGCACCCGGCAACCCCTTATTTCTAATGTGTGTTTGTGAGCAAGTCGAGAGTGGCCTGATCCTTGGGCTCAACAAGAGTCTGGCTGCATTGTCTGTGAAAGAGGGGCTTACTAGATGCAGAGACACAGAAAGAAAGGGTGAAGGGTACTTTCAGCCTGCTTAGGAGAACAGCTGCCAAGGGCCTTATCCTGTTGGTTGTTGTCTTAGTCTCTTTGGGTTGCTTTGACAAAATACCTTAGACTGGGTGACTTATCAACAACAGAAATGTATGGTTCATGGATGCAGAGACTGGGAAGCCCAAGGTTGAGGTGATAGCAGATTCGGTGTCTGGTGAGGGTCTGCTCCTCATGGAGGGTGCCTGCTATGAGTTCACAATGTGATGGAAGGGGCAAGGGAGCCTGGTGGAGCCTTCATGACTTAATCATTTCCCAAAGACCACCACCCCACTTCATGCTATCACATGGTGTGTTAGGTCCTAATATGGGGATTTGGAGGGACACCAATATTTAGACCATAGCAGTAGTACATGATGGCATGGGATGGTGTTTGTTGGGATGAGTCTTATATTCTTGAAGAGAAGCCTGGTCTGATTTAAAGAAAAAAAAAAAGTAGTGGGCCAGCACAGTTACTGGCAATTGTGATCTCAGCTCTTTGAGAAGCTGAGGTGGGAAGATTTCTTGCACCCAAGAATTCGACACCAGCCTGGGCAAATATAGCAAGATTTTGTCTTAAAAAAATTGCAATTAAAAAAAGAGTGTCCCTAATTAATCATATTTAATTGAAAGTAGTAAACTTTCTTTCTTTGGAAAGTCTCTTCTTCCCTTATTATGCCCGTAGTTGAAATTGTCTGAAGTAATGATTGACTAAGGGATGCCACAGTTTATTTTAATTATTTTACTTTGCAAAAATGATTTTTAAATGTAGTAAAATACATATGACTTAATATCTACCTACCATCTTAACCTTTTTTTGCTTGTTTATTGTTTGTGTTGGAGTCTCACTCTGTCGCCCAGGCTGAGGTGCAGTGGCACAGATCATATAGGTCAGATGATCCTTTTGCCACACCCAACTAATTTTTTTTAAAACTTTTTGTAGAGATGAAGTCTTGTTATGTTGCCCAGGTTGGTCTCGAACTTCTGGGCTCAAACAATTCTCCCGCCTCCGCCTCCCAAAGTGCTGGGACTAAAGGCATGAGCCACTGCCCCCGGTCCATCTTAACTATTTTTAAGTGTATAGTTCAGTAATATTAAGTATATTCACATTGTTATGCAACCAATCTTCAGAACTCATCTTATAAAACTGAAATTGTATGCCCATTCAGCAACAACATCTTATATCCTCTTACCCTCAGCAACTGAGGCACTATTCTACTTTCTGTCTCTATGAATTTGATTATTCTAGGTACCTCATATAAGTGGAATCATATTGAGTGTCGTGCTTATTTCACTTGGCATATGGCCTTCATCAGGGATCATCCATATTGTAATATGTGTCAGAATTTCATGCTTTTTAAGCACCAGTATTCCATTGTATGTATACACCATACTTTGTTTATTTATTCACCCACCAATGGGTTGCTTCCCATTGACTATTTCCACTTTTTGGCTATTGTGAATTTATTTCCATTTTTAAATGGGATGTTTTGTTCCATTTCAGGGTAAGAAGTTGCCTTATCACCTTGGGGATGATGCAGAGGAAGGGGAAGTTTCCGATGAGGACAGTGCGGATGAAATTGAAGATGACTGCAAGTTCAAGCTCCATTATGTGAGTTACAGGCACGACCATATTTTTTACCCTCAATGTGCTGCAGTAAAAATGGACTTCCCCCCCAAAATGCTGCTTTGTTAGAGTCCTCACAAATATGGCAGCTGTGGCGTATCAAGGGTAGTTATTGAAAATTACTTTGTGTGCTGGCACGCAGGGACTCAATTGTTTGTTGAGTGAAAGAGTCAAGGATTTTTGTGTTTTAGAGGATTAATTCAACCAACCCTGTCTTCAGGGACAAATCTCCTTCTATTACAAATTCAGAATCAAATTGCAATTGGAAATGTTACTGTCTGACTGAAAACAAAAAAACAACAAAAAAACCTGGTTGTGCCATTGTCTTCCCTGCCTCATGCTAGCAGCCTCACCTTCAAGAAGCCCAGCTGTACATGGTTGCTCCCCTGGGATGTCCATCCCCTCCTTGAGAAAGGCACCTTGGACCCAAGGATTTCCAAAGTCCTTACAGATATGGAGCTCTGGACTAAGTAGTTTGCTACGTCTTAAGTAAAGTGGCACAGAGTTGTTTGTTACTTGTACAGTAACAAGATCAAGATCAAGAAGCTGCCTTTGCAAAACAACAACAACAACAACATTTAGCCAGGTGATCTGGCCAGGTGCAGTGACTTACTCTTGTAATCCCAGCGCTTTGGGAGGCTGAGGTGGGAGCATCCCTTGAAGCCAGGAATCCCTTGAGATCAGGTGATCCAAGGAAAAGTGCAAAGCTGAGGGAAATATAAAGCTTTAAAAGGGACCCCTTCCCCTCACCTTCTGCAACTCATGTGATTGCTAGAATCACATGACAACCAGTGAGTATCATGTGCTCACAATAGTTTGTATAGAATTTTATTTCTACAGAAAAGTGATAATTTCTCTAGCCATAACGGCTGTGATTCTGCCCTCTCAAAAAACGGAAATTGTGTATAAAGTCTTCTAATTTATACCATTGCTCTGAATTCAACTGTTAAATTGTCAACAGTCCATTCTCTTCTAGATAATAATGTGATGCCTTTCCTATAGCTGTGAAAGGGACCTGGCATTATTTTCAAAGGGAACATGAGCTTAATGACAGCTAAAATCTCAGTAGACACTTCTTTCTTGTCTTTAAGACACTTTAAATGGGTGAAGTGGAAAACATTCAGCTTGAAGCGAAAAGGAAAAATTACCATCTCTATTAATCCCTTGTCTTTTAATAGTTTGTCAGTTTAATTAAATACCATTAACTCATAGGACTATGGTTACAGAAATTAAACAGATTTACATAACTGAAAATACAGTTAATATTTTGAAGAGTTGCTTTTTTCTCTTCTAGATATTTACTTTTGTAATTAATTATTTATGATTATGGATTATTATTATTGTCTCTGACTTTTATCATTTTGCGTCTTGTTTCTTAGATTTCTTGATTGTCAGCTATAGTGTAGTCTATCACTTTAAAGTAGGAAACAGAAAGGCTTGACCAAGTTATGTGTTTAGGAATGCTGTTTTGGTGAAAATGAGTGATAGAAATTTAACTACTATCACAATGTAGTTATGTATCGCTCTGAGTAAAACCCAAGTTGTTTTAGTTTCTAAATCCGCCCAGCAATATCATTTTTCTTCTAGTGTCAGTGAACTTTCCAGCTTCCCAAGTTAAATATATGTAATTATTTTTTTTAAAGTTAGCTATTGTCTTATGGGAATAAAAGAGCAATTTCTCCTGTGAAGTATCCACCTGGATTCTCTCATCTTCAAAATCTCTTAGATGATTTCTAGAAACCCATATCAGTAGATAGTCTAAAACACGATACCATGAAGTTAGTTAGATATGACCTTTCATTTGAATTATTTGATTTGTCCCTAAGTGAAAGTAGAGCATCTTAATTGTAAGATGTTTTTTGTAGAGATAAAGGCTTGCTATATTGCCTAGGCTGGTCTCGAACTCCTAAACTCAAGCAGTCCTCCTGCTTCAGTCTCCTAAAGTGCTGGGATCACAGGTGCCCACCACCATGCCTGGCTAATTGTAAAGGTTTACAGGGGTCTCTGTTATATTTTGGCAGAAAAAAATGCGTAGAGAAACCAACTTTACAGAAATATATACAGTTTTTACTTCACTTTTGTACTGTTTTGCTATTTTTGAGCTCTTTTAAGAAAAAACAATGCTGTGATTAGAAGGCCAAGGTGTTATCTTGTAGTCTGTCAATTTATAGTTCCATTTGGCAGAGGGCTCAAATGCCTTATCTGAGTGGTAAATTTAAATTGCCTAGTCTAAACTGACTACCTGATCATAATTCTGCAGAGAGGGTACACTGTGCATAGTTTATGTGAACCAGTAATTACCTCAGAGGAAGCTCTTAACCTCAGTTTTAAGTCAGCAGAATGTGGTTAGACTTATAGCTTATCGCTGAATTATTATAATAAATACAGATTTTAACTTATTCATGGACACTAGAATGCCAACTCCCATGAGGTTTTATAAGATTCATTTGCACATGCAGGAACTTTTATTGAGCATCTCCTGCTGGAAACGAATTCATCCCTGTTGTAGAAGTTGGGGAATATATCAATAACAAAACAGACAAAAATCCTTGCCTTCATGGAGTTTGCATATCTGTGGGAGAGGTGGAGGATAGACAAGAAACAATTCCAACCTGGGCAACAGAGCAAGACCTCTTCTTAAATACATACATACATACATACATAGCAAGACCTCTTCTTAAAAACATACATATATACATACATACATAAATACATAAATAAGCTGAGCATGGCGGCACACACCTGTAGTCCTAGCTACTTGGGAGGCTGAGGCAGAAGCATGACCTGAGCCCGGTAGGTCAAAGCTGCAGTGAGCCATGACCATGCCAGTGTCCTCTACCCAACTCAAAAAAAAATAATAACAAGACAAATAATTAAAATATATAGTGATGAGCACTAAAGGAAAAGGTGTGTATGTGTGTCTATGGGCACTCCCCTGCATGTGTGTATGTGAAAGATTTGTTGAAGTTTTAGATGGGATGTTCAAGAAGGGCTTCATAGGGAGGAAACATTTGAGCAAAGACCTGAAAGAAGTGAAGAGAAAGCCATGCTGATGTCTGGGGAAGAATATTTCAGGCAGGAAGGACCTCAAGGTCAAGATCAGAAGCAGGATTTGTGACTCTTCCAGCATTACCCTGGAGTTAGAAGCAGAACAGGAAGACAAGGCTCCTGTTACTTCTAAGTAAAGCTGTTTAAACCACACCATCCATTTTTTGCTTATGTAATAAATGCTTTCTGTTGTTGAATTAATTGACTGTTTTAAGCTTCTACCACATATTATTTTATGGCTTCAGCCATAGAGAAAATCTGATGCATACTGTATAAACCTCAAGGTAAAGCCGGTGTGTTTAGTGACCCAAGAATCGTAGCGCTCAAAGACACAGGATAATTTCCTTTCTACCACAGAGCAGTCACCTAATGTATTTGAAAGGATTTGATTCTGGGAGGCCAGCTCACCATTAATCATCTTTATGGGGTCTTCAGTGTCAGTGTGCTTTCCAGACTTTCCACCCTCGTATTTCAACTTCACTGATTTTTTTCCTCTTCTACTGAGCTATTCGGTATCTTTTTTCTTATGCTCTCTGAATCTATGTTTAGCCAGCCTCTCAGGCATAAACATTAGCTATGTCCTACAGAAAACTCATCCCATAAACATCAAGCCTTCCAGCAAGTTCTAAATGAGTCATAGCTCACTTAAACCTCAACCTCCCGGGTTTAAGTGATCCTCCCTCCTCAGCCTCTTGAGTAGCTGGGACTACAGGCACGTACCACCACACCCAGCTAATTTATTTTTGTTTTAACTTTTGTAGAGACAGGTTCTCACTGTGTTGCTCAGACTGGTCTTGAACTTCTGGGCTCAAGCGATCCTCTCACCTCGGTCTCCCAAAGTGCTAGGATTATAGGTGAGAATCACTGCGCTCAACCTGCATTAAGCCATTTTACAAAGGATTATGAATCTTGTTAGTTTAAAACATATCAGTACTCATAGAAAGGGTGAGGTAGCTCTTGGAGGTATGAAGTCTTGATACTGAATATGTTCGCTCTGAGCCAGAAAACCCATGCCTGGGAGGCTGGTGCATCCTGGCAACAAGAGGAGGAGAATGATGATGGTGACTGGAAGATTTCTGGAAGGTTCTAGTGCACAATACAACTAGTCCTTGAACAGTCCTTGTGTTTTACATGAGCTAAAGGAGCAGGCAGGCGATAGTAGAGGGCAAGGGTCAATGTCCAGGCTCGAGTTGCTGAGAAGCAGCTGTTCTTCAGCCCAAAACTTTTGAGGGACAGACTTGCGATGCTGTGGGGCATGCAGAAAGGGTGGCAATGTATCATTCTCTCTGTCTCCAGACTTTAGCCCAAAGAGGAAGAAAAAAAAATATTTTGAGGGATGCTGAGAAACTCCAAGTTTTGTTTTCTTGGCCTTGTTTTTTGTTTTCAAAGCCAAGGTCTTCAAGTTGGGCTGTGCCTTGGAATGACAGGGGAGCTTTCAAAAGTCCCAGTGTTTGGGTCCCAGCCCAGAGCATTCACTGTATTGGTGTGGGCATGGCCTGGAATTTTTTTTTTTTTTTTGAGTTGGACTCTCACTCTGTTGCCCAGACTGGAGTGCAGTGGCTGCTCCTGGCCACCGCAGCCTCGACCTGCTGGGCTCTGGCGATCCTTCCGCTTCAGCCTTCCAAGTAGCTGGAACTACAGGCGCGCGCTACCACGCCCGGCTAATTTTTTGATTTATTGTAGAGATGAGGTCTTGCCAAGTTGCCCATGCAGGTCTCGAACCCGCGGACTCAGGCAATCCACTCACCTCAGCCTCCCAAAGGCGCGGGATTACATGCTGAGCCACCGAACCCGGTGGCCTGGAATTTTTGAGCATCCCCTGGTGATTCCAGCATGTGGTGGAGATACAACACCCCTGTCTGAAAGGAGAGACACCCGACCCAGCCCCTCTCCTTTCCTGCCTCTTTCCAGTCTGGAATGATGGCCATGGTTTGGGA